CTGCTTTCAGGAAACATTTCTTTAGCAGTGCAGGAAAAGGGGAGAAAGGTAAATCAGGAGATGCAGTAGCTGCCTCCATTCCCCTTCCTCCTCCTCTCCCCATCCAGAGTGAGATAGCCATGATGGAGTTGCATCCAGAGTTGCTGGCAGCGAGTAGGATCTGTCCCATTAGCATGGCTAGTTTTAATTTTCTAATGTAACGTGAGCTGGATTAGGGGATTATCTCTTTTGCAGCTCTCAGGGGTCATGCCTGGAATTTCCCAGCTCCCAGGGCGTGCTGGGGGCTTGGTGTGGCACCCTGTCTGTTCCAGGCATCCGGCGATGCTGCACCCACCGCGGGATTTCTGCCGGGTGGGAGGCTGCAAGAACAGATGGCATTAGGGATGTGCATGCATTTCTTTTCTTGGAAAAAGCCAAAGTTGGATAACAAATACCCTCTCCATACAGCTTTTAACCTGTATTTTTGTCCTGCTCCCCCAAAACTGAGAGAAATGAGCTATTTTAAAATGTGAGTTCTCATCTCCCCACGCTCTCAGTGATTTTCCCTTTTGTCCTTTATTCCCTCTCCATCGTCTCTCTCCCTCCACTCCATGGTAAATCACTGCCAGGATCACAGTTGCCTCTCCAAGTTTATTTATGTGGTGGATAGGTGTGAAACAGCCTAGCAGCTCTAACAGTGGCATGTACTGTACATCTGCTCACAGCTCCTGCCAGCAGACTGGGAACTGCCCATCCAGAGACAGCCCACACTTGGGACCTGTTCCCCTGGGCTCTGAGTCATCCCAGGATTACTGTACCTTCAGACATCAGCGATCCCAAGCTCTGAGTTGTAGGAAAAAGGCTTTCCTAATAAGCCAAGGGCAAAGGAAACTCAATTCTCTGGCTGTTCCTCCCTGACAGCACAGCGGGGATTTGCTCAGCATTCTTAGCTATGCTTGGCAGGAGAAATTTGGCCCTTAAACCAGGACCCTGCCCAGCAGAGCCAGGGGGGCCAGTGGCCAAGAGTCTCGGTCTGGTTTCCCCAGAGTGTGGCTAAAAGCCCTCTTGCCAGCTTAGAGCCTAAACACCACAGAAGGGCACAGAGATGGAGGACAGGGTTGTCTGTCACTCCTTGTGTCCTTGTCCATCCCTGGTGAGGGCCACAGTGGCCTGCAGAGGTTTGAGCCTGGGGCACTGTGTCTCGTTTCAGAAACACTGCGACAGGCAGAAGGCAAACCTGAGGATCCGCTTCAAGCCCTCGCTCTTCCAGCACGTGGGAACCCACTCCTCCTTGGCTGGGAAGATTCAGAAGCTGAAGGTGGGTACCAGCTCTCTGTCCAAGCTACAGGTGGCCTGGCCTGCAGACACCCAGGAACTGACTGCTTTTGGGTGGGGACATCAGTGACAGCAGCTGGTGGCAGCTGGATTTCTGTGAAGTGGTTTTGTTTTATGATGAATTACAGTGAGCTCAGGTAGCTCCTGCTCCTCAGAATGGCAGTGACATGCACCAAAAGTCACTGCAAGATTTCAGGCCTTGGTACCAGTCATGGCCACTCACCCTGAGTGCCAGACCATGGTCCAGGCAAGTGACTTCGAAGGATCTACTGAAAAACCTTGAGAGATGACTCCTGGGTTGGTCTGACTTCCTTCCCACTCCACTCCATGTTCCTGGGATTTGGTGATGGGCAAATTATAACTCACTGTATAAGAGCTGGAATTGTTGATGTGTGTTTAAACATGAACAAAATGCAGCTTCCCACAAGTGCAGAACCCATGGACAGACATCCCTGGGCTGTGCTGTCTGTGTGATCCCTGGGGAAATGGATGGTATAATCCAGTTTGTATCACAGTGCAGTGCTGTCAGGCCATGTAATCCAGTCATTTTATGCTATTGTCAGCCTCACAGCTGCTTTCTCCTCAAGTGTAAAGACTGTTTCCAGAACTCCTGGGGCAGGGCCAGGCATTCAGGGACATTAGGACAATGAAAGGCTCCTTGGTGTGCTGGATCAGAGCACAGAGCAGGGGTGTTTCTCTGAGCTGCCTCTCCTGAAGCAGTGTCCTGGATCCAGTCACACATTCCCCTGCCTGGTGCCTTTCCCAGATTACTTCCATGTCTCATCCTTCTGTGCCCTGCAAATCACAAAATTTTAATTTGCAGTGCCTTGTAGCTGTGACCCTGGTTCCTCACAGGCCAGAGCAGCTCATGGCCCTTCTCTGCCCTTTTGCTTTGTGCCCACCAAGGACAAGGACTTTGGGAAACAGGCACTGCGGAAAGAGCACGTCAACCCTCCTGCCGAGGTGAGCACCAGCCTGAAAACCTACCAGCACTTCACCTTGGAGAAGGCTTACCTGAGGGAGGACTTCTTCTGGGCCTTCACTCCCACTGCTGGAGACTTCATCCGATTCCGATTCTTCAAACCTCTCCGTATTGAAAGGCCAGTGCTTGAGGGGTCACTGGGGGTGTGGGGGCAGCCCAGAGCACATGGAGGCACTTGACTTCTGCTCTTCTGGCAATTTAAATCAAATTTCTTGCCTGTCTTCTGCTTGGCTGCTGAGGAGAAGAGAGCAATGCTCTTCCAGGAGAAGGATAATTTAACCCTTTCTCACTGGGGCCACCTTTGCCAGAGCCCTTTGCTTTCCTGCACTTGTGAGCAGTCCATGGTTTAGCTGATCTGGCATAGAAAGTCTCAGGCCAAATGGTGCTGTGGGCTCTTTGGGAAGGTGCCTGTTAGGTTGAGCTGTTTGATGATTCAGATGGGGTGAAAGCCATCATGTGCCCCCTCGCTCAGTGTGCCTTTCTGTGGATTTGGTCTCTGTCACAGGTTTTTCTTCCGCAGTGGGAACATCGAGCACCCCGAAGACAAACTCTTCAACACAACCGTGGAGGTTCTGCCGTTTGACGTAAGTCTTTGAGATTTGAGGTGAGGGTGGAGTGGGAAGCAAAAGAGGCTTGAGAGGAGGGAACTGCTTAGAGCCATCAGGAAAATCCTTACAAGATTTGAGTGCCTCTTACAGGTGCTGGCAGGGAGCCAGAGGGTCATGCCTGGTGTGATGCCACCTCGGGAATGGGGTGCTTTGCTAAGCATGCCTGTGTGAGCCATCCCTGTCTGGGGATGCTGCAATGGGTGGGATGGCTGCAGAGGAGGAGATGAAGCCAGAATGGTGCAGTGGATACAGCAGTGTGAGGACTGCAGCTGTCCTCTTGTTTTGGGCGTGTGTCTCAGGGTTACCAGGTATGGGACGAGATGTCAGGATTTGCTGGCAAGGACATCTCTGGGGTTGCTGCTTTTCCTTTGGGACTTTTGGGTGAGTCTTGCCTTTGGCTTTGCACAAAACTCCTCTCCTTTTGCAGAGTCTACAGTCAGATAAAGAAGCCTTGCAGGAGGGAAGAGGCGCAGTCATCAAGTACCGCAGGACAGCGGATGGCTACATCCAGATAGGTACAGTGGGGTGTGGGTGGTAAAGTGCTTGCTGTCTTTGATAACACAGCCCAAGGCCTCACCTGCATGGCAAGAACCTTAGAGCTATTTGCTTGGCAAAGAGTAATTTCTGCTTGCCAGGAGAAAGGTTGGAGCAGTATTTAATTGTCATTGCCTCCTCTCCTCCACTGCCCTCTCTCTCAGACCAGGTTGTCCTCCTCAGATAGTTTTCAGTCCTGTATTTCTGCCAATCTCTGCTCAGAGCTGGGACCAAATGATGCAGATTATTTGTTTGCTTACTCTGGGATTAAAAACCTCTACCATGGGCAGTTTTGTCATCTCTGTACTCAAACCATTAGCAGGCCAGACTTCATCTCTTGCCACTTGAGCTTGTTTTAGTGCTTGCCCTGCCCTTGTACAAGAACAAGCAATTGCAGCCTCCAGAGACCTGCCAGTGTGTGATACAACCCTGGTGTCCCTGCTAAGATGTCGTTTTTTTTAAAGCAGATAAATAAAAGAAAAAATTCCTGTCACATGCAGTGTTTTGCCATTTTCTTACTCTTCTGCATACTGACTGGTTTCTCCCAGTTGCATTTTCAAAAAAATAAAAATCACAACCAAAAAAGCATGTCAGGCAACTCTGTCCCCTTTCACACAGCAGTGATATGACACCAAATACTCCAAGTACATTTTGTTTTGTGTACCTGATTTTTTTCCTCCAAGGTGTGGCATTTTGCACTGTATTGCCATCCACAGTGCTGTTTTCTAGCCTATTTTGTGTGAGGCAGCCACAGGCAGGGCTTGCTGGGGCTGTTGGTTGTGCCCTGGGAAAGAGGGGAAGTGTAGGGGCAATGCCAGAGGACCATCCCTGTGCCAGCCATGTGCTCTCCCCACCAGGTTCATTTTCCAAGGGCGTCGCAGAGGGTGAGGTGGACCCATCCTTTGGGCCGCTGGAGGCCATCAGGCTGTCCATCCAGACCGACTCCCCGGTGTGGATCATCCTGAGCGAGGTAAGCCGAGCTCCCTCAGCACGTCCCTCCCCTGCCCTGCTCATCGCTCTGATCCCATCCCTCTCTTCTTCCAGATTTTTATCAAAAAAGCAGAGTGAAACAGGCAGGAGGCAGAACGGACACACTCGTGGATCCCTGGTCCTGCTCCCTCCCTCCCGCTCCCTCCTCCCTGCGGCGCCTTGCCCGGAGCAGGACAGCGCAGGGCCGGCTGCCGGAGGCGGCACTCGCCGACAGACCACGGCAAAGCTGCTGCTGCGCCAGCCCCACCATCCCCAGCAGGGCTGCGGGGCCAGGACGGGCATCGACTTCTCCTGAAGAGGAGCAAAAAGCAGACCCCAACCCCCTGTGCAGAGGGGAGGCTTTGCTCCGCTCCCCCGGCCCCTCGGGGTGCCGGCTGCCGCTCGGGACACACGGGACAGTTTGGGGTCGGGATGAGCTTTAGCGAGCGTGGGGACAAAAAGCACCTTCAGCCCCGGACAGGGCAATTTTGGCTGTATTTGGGGACAGAGCAGGTCACACTGAGACCTGCCAGCTGACCCCACCATGGGATGGAGGTGGCAGGAACCTGCCTCGCACTCTCCCAGGCAACAGTCCTGGCCACAGCTGAGAATTAAGTGAGGGCAAAGACTGACCCTCCTTCAGCAGAGGAAGAACGAATCCAAAGGGGTTGGAGCTATGATTATGGCAGGGAAAACAAAAAAAAATAAAATATGCCACACTGTGCCTGCCAGCATTGAACACAGCCCCTTAACTCACGGTGAAGTCTCCAGTGTCTTCATGCCTTGAGATTGAGTGCAGAAACTGTCTTTTTTTAAATAACTATTTCAGTTATTAATTGATGTGGGTTTTTTTGGGGAAGGAAAAAAAAAAAAGCAGAGGTAGCCCAGTTCAAAAATAGTAGGGATTAGTGTAAATCCCAATGTCCTTTCAGCTATACACTGGAATGCATTATACTACTTTAATGTTCTGTATTTTTTATTATTGGATACATTTGATTTTTCAAGTACATCTCTATATAAATATATAAAACAATGTGCACTGTAATAAAAGCTAAATTTAAGCCTTTGGTGCAGTAGTGAGAGTCACTTGCAGCAGGGCTGCTTAAGGCACCTGTGACCCCCCCAAGTTTTCTCAGTGGAGGATGGAATCCAGGGAGGGCAAGGTCCTGTTGCAGGGTGGGTGATAAGTGAAGCTGGGGCAAAGTAAAGGTCATTCAATCACTGCCAGACTTTAGTACAAGACTTTAGTACTTGGACTAGGGGTCAGGCTTTTCTCCCAGTGTTTGGATGTGGTTTTAGGCAAGCTTACCCATCCTTTTCAGTTAATCACAGCAGCTTTTCCTGTGAAACCCAATCCCCAGCTCAGATGTTCTCACACCAGTCTCTGAGCACCTTTGACAATCACAGGTGATTTCTAGTGAGAAAAATAATTTATTTTTGTATATCCATGGTGTGATTCTTCAGCACAGATCATTACAGCAGTAAGGAGGAGAGACAACAGCATGTGGGTCAGTGTGTGCTCCACGAGGCAGAGCCAGAGGCATTTTAGAGCAGACAGTGCTCTAAAGCAGTAAACCTCCTCAGCGGGGGCAGGGACTGGGAAGCATTTGCTTTCTAGAAGGGAAATTATCTCTAAAGAGCAGAGGAGTGCCAGCATCCACCTCCCTTCAGCAGGGAATGCAGAGCCAGGGAAATACTCTCCCTCTGATGGTGCCACATGCCTGGCTCCCCTGTGCTGGGACAAACAGTGAGCTTTGGGAGAGCTGTGGCTCCTCTCAGTGGGCACCACGGAGCTGGAGAGGCCACAGCAGTGCTGCCATCCCTGTGGAGGAGCTGGGCCACAGGAAGTGTGCCAGGAGCCCGGCCAGAGCCAGCCCCATCAGCAGCCAGAGCAGCCAGGCACTGGCATACAGTGGTCCCAGCCTGGGTGGGAGAAAACACCATCAGGCACTGCCAGCCCAGCCAGGGCACAGTGGCACAGGCTGGCAGTGCTGCGAGTCCCCACCCTCCAGGATAAGAGGTGACACAGCCATGAGCACATGGGGGCAGGAGGGGAGGAGGAGGAGGTCAAAATCTGCCTGCAATCCCAGCCATGGGAAGGAAACCTGTTGCAGAGGCCAGGTTGTGCTCCCAGCCTCCCTGGGCTGGTTTGGGGTGCCCACAGTCCCGGTCAGGTCCTTACCGTCCCTGTGCAGCCACGGCGTAGCCCTGGAAGTATTTGAGGCGGGTGTAGAGGTACAAGAGCCCACACACTGCAGTCACACCTGTGGGGATGGGGAGCCCAGTTCTGATGGGGCTTGGGGTGCTGGACACTGCTGGAGCTGCATTCCAGCAGTCACCCCAGCAGATGGGGCATGACCCAGAGCAATTTGGCTTTAAACCACTGTGGGAGCTTAAATGTTTTCTTCCCTTTTTGTGAGGGATGAACTTCTCTGCCCCACAGAGTTGCCCTGGGACTTGGGTTGGCAATGCTCCCTGATGTGGTTTCTCCACACAACTTCCCTGTTGCAGCAACCCAGTCCCCTGAGCTCACTTGGTAGGGGGACAGACAGTGGATGAGTAAATGTTTGGGTTATGGTTTCTTGCTCTGACATAGCCCTGCCTCAGCTGCTGCCACCCTGGGACAGCCTGACCTTGTCTTGGAGAAGCAGCACAAGGGGACAGGCGGGCTCCAGCAAAGGAGCAAGGGCTGCCAGTACTTCCTCCTCCAGGCAGGAATGGGCTCAGCTGCTCTCAGCTGCAGTTGGGGCACTTCTCAGTCAATCCAGCTAAAGGGGAAACTTGATTTCCATGAACAGGAGCCTCACAGGCACAGAGAGAATGCCTAAGTCACAATGGGATTTAACTTAGGGCTGTGGTTTTTTTGTTTGTTCACATGGTTTGGGTTGGAGTTCCCCCCAACATCCCTCTTACCTTGATGGAAGAAGATTCCAGCAACCCAGAGGAGGGAAATGAAGATTGGGAAGTACTCTGAGCAGTTTGCCCTGGTGAGAACCAGAGATGAGAGTTAAAACTGCCTCCTTGTACATCAGAGCCTGGATAACCAAGGCTGGAGAAGGGAATTGGAAACTCAGAGCAAACAAAAAGAGCTGATGAGAACCATCACTGTGCTGTGTGAAAGGGGCCTTTTCTATGATCAAGAATACCCAATATCTGTATTGTAGAGAAAAAAAGCAGCCAAACAGCACATAGCATTCACCTCTCCCATATTCACATGGCCCTGGAATGACAAGCTGTGGCTGAGATGGAGATTTGTCTCTGCTGGGCCCTCGACAGGCTCCATCCCACACACAGCACCATCACAGGCAGCTGCTGCACCTCCAGCTGCTGGGGGAGAGCCTTCCTGTCAGTATTTAAGGAGCTTTCTCTTCCCCTTGGCTGAGCACAGCCCAAATTTGAGAGTCACACAAGTCACACTGCAAAAAGGAGCCTTCTCTCAGATACAATTCAGCAGGAGATGATCAAACCTACAGCCAGGTTTTCCTCCTTTTTCCTTTAGTGACAAAAATACAGATTTTCTGCAAGAGTAGGAGCTGTGCTATTAAAGACATTGGTTTCGCTTCTCCCACATTTTACCATTCCCTAGGCAATTTAATCTTAATGTTGGCCAAAAATGTACAAACCTTTGGAGAATGGAGCCAAACTGGAAGCTGGTAAAAGTCTGAAGAAGCTTATTCTATAAATGCAGTTTAAGCTTCAGTGAGGGGAAGCTGCCAGCTTTCTTCAAGTGAGTAATATATCAATACCACTTTTTTCCCATATTATTTTTTTCAATATATCAAATTATCCATTTATATACTCTTCCACAGGGAAAAGAGAAGAAAAACTCAGAAAGAAGCAATATCTTCTCAAGTCCAGGTTCCCTGAGCTCACCTTCCCTGCCCATTAGAGGCAGGGTTTCCCAGAACACCACAGCCAAGGCATGGTGTGGTTAACACACATTTAACAGTTCAGTATTTGATTAAAAGCCACATCAGCAGCTCCCCAGCTCACAGAGGCTGATGTCTCCAGGCAGGCTGGCCTTCCATGGCACCACAGAAGGACTGAAGCCGGTGGTTTTGTCACTCCACAAATGTTTCCTGTGTGCTGGCAAGGGAACGCAGCTGCTTTGTTCGGGATTTAGTGCCGGGCTGGAGCTACCCTTCACACCAGCTCCAGCCAATTCCTTTCAATCGCTTACAAAACAGAATGACTGAGATGAAAGACGGAATCTGGTGCTTTCTGGAAGCCGAAGGGATCTGTGAACATTTCCATTTTAGCTCCAGCATTGCTCTCTCCATAGGAACAGAGCAAAAAGAAACAGCCCTCAGCAGGGGCCCACAAGTGCTGATTCTCACAGTACAATGGCTTCTGAATGGGAAAAAATTAAAATGCCCTTGTAGCTTCAAGGGCCCAGCAAGGCCGTTTGCTTCAATTCAACAGCAAAACATTACAAGAAAATATCAGGTTATTAATAAAGCTTTGGCTGCTCTCACCACTTGGAGCAAATGGTAATATTAAATTTAATGATTCTAATCGTGAATGCTCTGCGCCTCCTCTATACAGCCACTAATTTGTAATTTGGCTGCCTCACAATGCCAGAAGGAAAATTGTCATGGATGGACAGAAACACCCCAGCCAAAAAGCTCCAAATCAAAATGAAGACCTTTGTACACAAAGCATTGAAAAAAAAATTATATCAGTAGCAGTAAGTGGAAAGGTGACTTGAGGGGGACCAGTCTCTCCCAACAGTGATGGTTGACTCAAGTCTTATCTAGACAAAGTCGCCACAAAAACTTAATAGCTTACTGGGCTCTGAAGGTCCGCTCAAATTCAGGGTGACCCGTTGTTTCAGGAGGGGAAATCTTGTACTTCCGACGGGCATAGATCACCTGCATTGCAAAATAGGCTAAAAACAGAACACAGGAATGGTAACCGACCAGCAGTGTTCATTTAGCCAAGCTTTATCTGGCTTGGAATCAAGCAAGTGGTTAGAATGAAAGAGCTGGTATGATCTAGGCCTACAGTCCAAGGCTGTCACACATGACCTGTAATAAATGTGCTATTTATTTCACTCTCATGCTTTAAATTCAGGTTTGGTTATCCCAGCTGAGTGCTGGATGACACTACAGCATCTCACACCCAGTACCTCACTGTATGAGGTGCACACCCAGCAGAGCCCTCAGTGCTGCTCCCCAGGAGATAAATCACACAATAAGACCTTACCAAGTGCACACTGAGTTGCAGAATTATTTCTTAGTCTTGCACTTTGTGTTTAGAGTACCTGTGCACCATCAGCCAGTCTGATGAGAATGATGTGCAGCATTTTCTGCTGTTCATAGTGGGTGCAAAGTATGGCCCACGTCACAGAGCAGCATCCAAACTGCCAGCACTGGGATATCACTAAGTCAATTAGAGATGCTCTTAATCATGGCAATAAAAGGAAATGGGGAAGAGGGTGATTATTTCTTGCTCTTCACTCGTGCAGGGCAGCCCCAAGGCTCCAATGGTTCAAGAAGCAGAGGTGCTGCCCATGCCTGCTACCAGTGCCACATTTGAGCCCGTCAGTGTCTGCTGCATCAGTCCTTTGTACATTGGTAAAGGACATGGAAAGTCACTTCAAATATTCAACAACATAAAGATTTGGAATGTTTCAGTATTCTTGAAAGCTCCTACTCCCACAGGCAATTGCTGATGCTCTGAGTGTTTTATTTAGGTGCACTACTACACTGCTGCCTTTATTGAAAACTCCTATTTTCATATAGGAGAAAACTAAGTTATAAAAACAATTACTTTGGTGGCTGTGGTGGTATCGCTGAGCCACTTGACACTTTTGCTATGTGAGCAAAATCCTCACATAGCAACATTTCCAGAGCATCGCACAGAGAAACAAGGAGCCAGGGTGCAAGGCCTGCCCTGGGGACTGTCTTATTGTAACAAAGATAAAAGCAGAAGAGCAGGATAGAGAAGGGGAAGTAGGGACAGATGTTCCAAGATTAAAGACAAGACATGTGCCTGCAGAAAAGCATTAGAACATATGTAGAAGGGAATTAGAAATGTAAATAATCTGATGCTATGTGACTTGCGTATCACAAGGTTTTAGTAACACAAAAAGTCATTTCTTTAAGAACACATTTAAGAACAATTAAGCATGTTCTAGTGTTTTCCACAGTGACCCAGCCCTAAATGAGACAGAGCAAAGTGGGGGGAAACAAGAATGTTCCCCCTCTTTGATTCATTTGTAGCAGGTTGATTATGGGTGAGGGTGTCACCCTTCTCCAGAGGTCCAGCAGGACAGGACACAGCACTCCCTCTGTGAACCCAGAAAGATGTAACATGCAACTGGAATTCAGCAGCTGCTGGCAGAGCTCTGGGAATGAGATGAAACCATGACCCATCCTGTTACCTCTCGTCCTCCCTAATGCTCTCAGGGTATCATCCCAGACTCCTCTCCAAAAATGGACTGAGCTGAAGTTACAGCACCATGAGCAGATCTGGCTCGTGGCATAAACCAAACTGCACTGGACAATGCCCTTCATCCTGCTTTGTGCCATCTGCACCTTCCCTAAGGTAGGATTCTTGTGACTGATGGGTGAGGTAAGAGTCATTTCACATCAAACCTCTCCACCAGCTCTACACTTGGCATCTTGCTTCTACATGGGGCTAATATTCAAGTCCTACACAGATCCCTGACACTTAGGGATGAGTAACATACAAAACAACCACCCAAGAGGAGCAGGAGCCTTTTGGAGGACAGCTGGCTGTTCCCCAAACCTGGTGTAAGGGTGAAGAACTAAGGATGAAGAACCAGTCCACAAAAGCAATTCTCAGAATGAGGTGTTGAAAAAATCCACACTGCATGAGCCTTCTCAGCACAGACTCCTGGAGAAAGAGTTCAATCTACTCTGCAGAACCTTCCAAAGCATTTCTTTTTTTTTGTGATTCGTGTCTCGAGGTTAATCACCTGTGTGGATTCCCATGTGGCTTAGGGGCTCAGCTCTCCCTGAACTTTGCTCTTCAGTGGAAATATTCTTCATTCTCTATTTGATTATGTCCACAAACTTGTCAAATCGTATCACAGCTGCTATCTGCCACATTTGAGTGAACCTGGCAAACAAGCCCTGTGGGGCCTGACAGTGACATTGCATAAGTTTTCTTTCCTTTGAAGCTGTAAAATAAAGGAGCAGGGGAAAAAACTGGAGTAGAATAATTTTGCTCTGTGTTATAATGTTCACCACGAGGCTGGGGCACACATTCAAAGACTGCTAAACTCAAGAGTTTCACTAAACTGAGGATGACTAAATTAAAAAAAGTTACTTGAAAGAATGTGGAAACTGCAGGCTCCCAGGAAATTCAAAAGGAAACATAAAAATCAACCAAACGCTGTACTGAGGTCAGCCATTAAATGCCATCTCCTGCTCCAGGATGTGATGGAAAGGAGAAGTGTCTGTAGGGACAGCCCATGTCTGTGCTTCAGCACTCACCTGCTCAGAGCAAATCCCAGACCTGTAACTCACCTACAGAATGTCCTTTCAAAACATGCAGAGAAAGCCACTCACAGCTCTGAACCCCAGTGACAGGCACACATATTTCATGGGAGGAGATGGAAAGGAAATGCACAGTATTTTGCAATTGCTCCTTGGCTTCCCATGCAGAGATCATAAAACCAGGATACCTCATCCTATCAAATAGATATGAAGGTGCTGATGCTTGCTATATGTCTGCTGTTTCACACCTGGATTGTATACCATGAAAGTAAAATGTTTAATGCTGCAACCTTTGAAAAGTAATTGAAATTCTCATTAAACAAAAATATTTGAGACAAAACTGCTATCTAGAGATTTGCTACTGAGGGTTTCCTAAAGGAAAAAGGCTCAGCAGCATTTCTGTAATTCAACTTCAAATTTTCTTCATGTCTTGTCTTTGCACGCTAAACATTCACTCCACCCTCAGTTTAATAACAAAAAAAATCATAGTACAAAGGTTTCTTCCATTTGTAGTTGGTGGCATGTCTGTGTAAATTGAGTGGAAATTATTTAAAATTCAGAAGTATTGAGCTCTATTTTTAAAGTGGCATATTTTGTTTTAAATAATACTTATATTGAGAAATTTATCATCTGATGGCTAAAAGCACATGATGCTCCTCAGAGATTCACATCCATTTGTAAGCATTTGTGTGATAGCTGTATGTAATTCACCAATTAATACAGTAATAAAAAACCCCACAAACCTTCCCTTATAGAATTGTGAAGATTTTAATAAAATGGGGGCTCTCTCCCCATCCTAGGCAGGGGAGTCCTGAAGCTCAAGAGGGACAGACTTTATCCAAAGGACCCAAAAATAAACAGAGCTTGGCAACAACCCTGTTCCTTCTAAATGGTCCAAACACAATGCATCTATTTAAATTAGAAGTCACTGTGTTCCTTTGAAGAGCTCTGTGTCTATTTCTGTCCAGAACTTGCATTAGTTTCCAAATTACTGTGCTCTCAGTCCATCTTGTCTCTGCTCTGTGCCATAGGAGCATACAAGGATATTGGTGACAAACACCTGTGTGCACGAGGCTCTTTGCTATATCCACACCAGCTCTGTCTGTACACTGACCTCCTCACCAGCACATTTACTAACCTGCCTTTATTTTGGCTACCTCCAGCCACTGTAAGTTACAAATCACCTGCTAAAATTCAATCACAAACTAGTTTACTTTAAGACCATGTCGAAATTGCTTTAAGACTAAAAGTTTTAATTGCTAGCTTTGAGGATTATTTTAGTCCCTGTTAAATAATGACCACCCTCAGGCATGACACTTCTGCAATGAACAAGCCAAAAATCCGTATCATTTTACCATGTTGGAAAACAGTGACTTTCACTGCACAGACACTCTGAGAAAAATACAGGAACCACATCCCACAAAGTTTAATGTAATTAGCTTAATACTGCCATTGTACAAAGGATATTTACCTTGCTCCAGGACCCCCAGAACGGTGACTGTGGCCAGCAGGTCTATCTGATCTCTCATGCTGCTGACTGTGGAGCAAACCCCAGCCTGATGTGCTGGGTATAGGTGTCCCAATGCTCCTCCACCACCCACTTCCACAGAGCTGCCTCTGAGCACAGGTGTTTCCTCCACCACACCTTAACCCTCTCTACAACACAGTTTTCCAAAGCATCCACCCACCAGAAGAACGTCAGTTGCAGCCAAGTGCCTGTTGCTGAACAATGGAGCAGGGAAGAATTCTGCACGAGCAAATTGTGAAATTCTTCTAATTTACATTTGCATATTTTATACCATGATTCAATTATATGTTGCTGGCAATGGAAAGATGATGGAATTCTTTCCAGCCCTTTTGTTGCTAGTTTTAATGAGCTCTGAAGCATCTCAATTATGTGCAAGGCTGTAAAAATTATTAACAAGCATTTACAAATTAATGACTTGACCTTCAGCTCTTATTTCAAGTAGTGGAGTTGACCACATGAAAGATCTGATACACTCCAGCTGGAATAACTTAATTTTGTTACCAGATTTTGTGATTTAACAGAACATTCAGATACTTTATCCTACTAATTACTACCCTTCAGTTTATCAAAGCAGTACAGTTCTTTTCTAGCACTCGCTCACCCTTAGTAGTTTTCTTAAGTTTTTAAGCAGTACAAACCTTTCCCTGGCTAACAAAACAAAACACAAGTTCTCAGTTCTGAAGGCAGCAGAGGATGTAGAAACATAGAGACCCTGATAAATGTTAAACTGACATCAGAGTTTTAATTGTAATATGTAAAATTTGAAAACCAGCAGTGTTTTAGCCTTGAATAACTTATCTCCCCACTCCACAAAAGTAAAATTGGCATCAGTTCAAAAAGTTACTTTATGTTTTTGAGCAACTTTATATGGATGACTACTCTGATGCCAAAATTTTTAAAATCAGAGAGAAGGTTTTCTCTTAATGCTGGTGTCTGAGACACTGCATTTCTCTCTGCTCAGTCACACACACAAACCCTCACTGAAGAATTTGTGTGTGTACCAGACCTACAGTTTCTCCCAAGAGGGACACAGCAAGTTTTTTTTCTAGTTTGGCTTTCATTGCTTCAAAACCCCATTGTGACATCTCATCAAGTTGAAAATTCAGTTAATCCATCAAATACCCAATGTTACACTTTTTATAAATAGCCACACACGTAGAATTGCAAAACCACTCCCTTTCTCTAAAAAACACTCACATGATGTGAATTCTGACTCTCCAAGGTACAGCAGACTCAGACTAAATAGAACTAAAACCTAAACGTTAACCTTAACTGAACCTATTGGTGACCAAAGATTTCATCTGCAGTGTCCAATGTAGAAGTCAGAGAGGAAATGTCACCAGGGTCACCTTAAAATATATTTCAACAAACAATTCAGGTTTGAGAAAACACTTCCATTACAGATTTCCATTACTCTCAGGAAAAACACTGACATCAAGGAAAAAAAAAAAAAAATCAAATTCGTTTCTGAGCAAAGGTTCATAAGCTGCCACTGACTCCTTCAAATCTTTGGAAAACCACAGATATCATTTCAGTGGGGGATGGTTTGCAAAATTTCTGTTTCATTCAACAATAACTAAAATACAGCATTTTTAATGGGACAATAAAGCAAAAATTAATGTTACTTCACTGTCCCACACCGGCTAAAAGCAACTGATTCTGGTACTGCTACTGATTGCTACATTTGTGTCTTTATAATCTTCCAAAGTTACAGGTCTCTATGTCCCCCAAACAGAAAACAAAACTTGTAGAGCAGGAATACACTAAAAATACACTCTGGCACTCACAGGTTGCTGTGAGGAAACACGGAGGCTGAGCTGGGGCTGCAAACACAACTGCACAATGACACCAACTGCAAAGCCTGGAGAACGACCCATCAGTGTCTGAAGCTGGGCAGTGGCTGTGGGACTTTACCAGCCTTGAGCCAAGACCTCCACACACGCTGCTGCCAGTGCTTTGTTCCTTGCTCAAGTATCAGCTCCTGCTTGCAGCACATGTCCCACGTCTCAGCTGGAGTCCTGTGTGCACCATGTGCCTGCATCAGACAAGTCTTGAGGAAATCAGTTTGAACCTCCAAAGGCTGGCATTCTGAGGGAACTGGCACATTTTGGAACTCTACAATTTTGCACATGTGAGGTCTTGGTAGTTATTAACATCTTTTTCACTACTAACAACCACCTCTGCAGTTGAATTTCCCAGCTTCAGGTCTACAATGCATTCCAGAAAAAAAACAAAAGCCCGGAAGCAGTGGGAGTAGCATAAAGCCCAATTTTCAAAGTTACATTTTCTAAGGCCCCTTTATCCAGTTCTGGCCTGTTTAAATAGACTTTCTGAAACCATAAGAATTGGTAAGACACAGCAGCAGAATTTGAGCCTTAGTAATAGGCCAAGCAAAAAATTGTGTGCTGGGATGAAGGGAAGGAACCATCTCACTAGGAATGACAACGCTGAACTCTGCTCAGCTCACGCAAATGTATAAAGTCACACCATGTATATTTAATACACTAGCAAAATATTTATTTTATAATGATAAAACAGAAGTGAAGGATTTCTTTTTGGTGTGCACCAGTAATTGTAGTAAAAGAATAAGGGGATTAATGGACTCTTTATACATTTCAATGACAAAAATTCATAAAGGTTAGCATCAAATTCAACTGTTCTCCATTTACAAGCATAAAACTTACCATAATACCCCCCCAAACACATATATAAAGAATTATAGTTTTAAAATCTATAAAAAGTAAAAAATATACAGTCAGAAGATCTAACTCTTATTCAATCTTTAATATAAAATTGTAAACATTTATTTACACAAAGGAAATGTGTATAACAAAATTTTGAGCACCCTTTTCAATTGGATCGTGGTTTTTGGAAGGCAGTGGATGTTGCACAGTGACACTCTCACCTTGCATGCCCAACCAAAACCGCAGTTTATAAATAAAGCCATGGGCGGCCGGCTGGGTTCAGTTCAGGGGAGATTGGTTTTATTGCTCTGAAGCTGCAGCAAATGGAAAGCCCGAGTGCAGACACAGCCAGTGACATGTTACAGGGCCCCAGGGCAGAGCCCAGCCCTGCCCATGTACCCATGTATATCAAAACCGTATTTTCATTTCCATTGAACTGTTCCACCCTTGTTCCAGTGGCCCCGTGTTCCCAACGCTCCGACTGCGTTCTGTGCACAGGGACCAAAGCCAGAGCAGGGGCTGTTGGGATCCTGTTCACACACAGACACCAGTGGGCATTATAAGCCAATTTGTCTAGAATCACACTTAATTTTACTCCAACAGTACCATGAAAAGGCCCTGTCATCAAACCCAGATACCTTCCTGAACAAACCCTCTGGTCAAGCAGAGCAATATCCACCTTAGCTTCCAGAAACAGTGGAGGAAAGAGCACACCTGCGTTTTCCTGGACATTTTGCTGGATTGCCTTTTTGGTAGTAACAATGCAAACAGCAGATGTTCTTTTCCTCCAATTAAGAAATCACAACTGGATGGATTGTATTTTGACTTCTTCAGAACAAAGTCTGTGTGCAAAATCTACTGGAAAACAGAGCAGATTTCACCACAACCTAAACAGGGAGAAAGAAAAGCTGAATCCTACTACCCTGTTATTTCTGTCAAGTGTTTTTAAGGGGGAGAAAAAAAACAGTGACATGGAATGATGTCACTTGAAATTGAGGTCCCAAGCACCCCTGACAGGAAGGGAAGGCACACTGGTGCAAAGTTAACCCTTAAAATTAAAAAAAACAACAAACACTCCTTCCCCTGCCATTGCTAGTTTATATCTATACTCTTCTAATGACACTTACCTTGGACCAGTTTTTGGTTTAACTTAATAGTAAACCAAGCTCATTAGCTCTTTTCTTAGATTGCCAGTATGAGAAAAGCTAGCATCAGTTATTTGCATCTCAACTACTTATTCTAGAAAATATCAGAAGTGTCAACAACCAAAGTCACCAACACCTTCATCTTCCCATCCAAAGACAATCTTTACGTTATCTTTTCAAAAGCTCTATGAGGGATTAAGCCTGCCTCAGTGAAGTTTTATCCAATGTTCAAAGGTGGGACCCACTGATCAATGCACATCTTTCATCAACAGTTCAACATGATAAAACAGCAAATCTGATCAACAGAGCAGAATTCATCCACACTAGCTAAGTGTGCTGGATAAACCATGTTCCATGCATATTTGGAAAGGGTTAAAGTATTAGTGTTAAAAAAGCAGTTTTCAAAAGTGCAAATTGTCTCATAAAGGAGCTGCAGATACAGTAAAATATTTTCCTTCTTCAAAACCAATGATATCTTTCACTTCCCTTCACCCCCTCTGGAAAAAAACCCTCTCACAATTCTGCAATGCAGAAAACTCCTGGAGAAGCCAGTCTGTGTTGAAGGAAATTGCTTTTAAATCACAATGCTGGGTTTGGTTATAAAGTTTGGAGGAGTTTTCCAAGAAAGTGGATTTAGAAAGGGAAGAGGTATTTGTGCATTTAAAACAAAAGCTTTCAACTTTATTTTAATTTTAAAATAAATGTTAAGGCAAGGTGGTTTGTTGGTGGATAAGGGATTTTTTTTTTTTTTTGGTAGAGTAAGGACTTTAGAACATTGACTGTTCCCATTGTGGTTTCTGTCCTTTCTGGGACCAACCCCAACATACGGATAAGAGGTCTCCTTGGGCTGAGCTGAAGAACAGCATCTGCTTCAAGGGATATTAAAAAAGTAAATCCACCAGTCTATAGAAAGATTATCGAACTTGTAAGCCAGTATTCAAAAAACAAAGCATTTAAGGGGGAGACTTCCACATTGGAGCAACCCTGATACAAGCATTCTTCCAGGCTGCCTGTGCTATTATTGCTAATAAGGACTTTCCACCTCCCAGCCAAATTCTTTTTTCCTCATTTTTATCCTGAAGTGACAAAGTCTTGTGCTCATCGCTAACTTCAGGGGGATGAACTGATCTCTAAGGTTAGTTTTACTTTTTACAACAAAGAAAACTAGATGAGCTGTCATGAAGCAAAGCCTTCATTTAAATACAACTACCTTTGGAAATAAGTTATGAAGAAACAGGTGCAAAGTAAATGGCTTTACAATTCATGTTAAACCTACTATAGTTTAAAAGTTCTCCCATAAGAAATTCCCC